TCTACTTTTTCATGATATTCTAATTTTATGACCAGCACCTGTAAATCATCGCCGTCGATGATCTGCGTTGCCTGGGGCACTGATTTTTTAGCTAATTAATTTTCAGCTACAGCTCCACCCTCACAGCGGAGTTGAGAGAGGAGAACTCTAGCTTCGCAAAAATGAAGCCGACACCAGTGGCGGCTGGCCAATAGAGAGCGCTAGGACGCCGCCCCACACCCAATGATCCTGAATAAGACGTACAAAAAAGTTTAATTTTAATTTTAAATGAAAACGTAAAATATTTCAAAATATATCTGTACATATTTTTTTTAGATAAATAAAAAAAAATTTTTATATTTAATGACTAGTAAAGCGTCATTCCATTTTTCGTCGGATCTGTGAAATCTTTGCCCTTGGACTCTCATTAAAAGTTGCACATTCGCAGCTGTGGGGTGAGTTGAGACGAAGTATATCTGCTCACCATCTCCCGCCGCAGCGCAGACATTTTGCGGGTGATTGACCCGGTCGAGGCTCAGGAGTGTGAAACATATTGGAGAGAGAAGGAGAGAGAAATGGTGCAAGAAACGTCCTTTTCCAAGAACCGGGTTAACAAGAAGACTTGGCTATCAGCATGTAGCTTTATTCTGCTTTCCCTGCCTCCTTTTTCTGACCCAGCATGGATAAAGACAGTTAAGACTGATTTAACGCACTTTGTAGAAAAGGCAAAGAAGAATGAACAATCTGGGATTTACATGGAAAATAATATAACATAGTGTATTTTTTCTAGATCATTATTAATTTGCATAATTGCTCATAAATAAACACATTCTCAGAAAATAAATAGTTTTTATATATTTAAAAGAATATAAAGCTGACATTATTTTTTTTTTAGGTTTGTGACATCATATTGGACCATGTAAAACACAGATTTACCTTAACAAAACCTCAGAAGAGCAAGATTTATTTGCAAAATGTAAAGCTTTTCATGAAATTATGTTTGGTTTTCATATAAATATACTGGTCTGATAAGTGATAACTTAGTGTACATTTGACTGGTTTTTGGTATACATCTATTTTGAATTTATAGCCTCCCCTGGAGAAAACTTTAACCGTTTGCTGTTAAAAAAATGAACATCCAGCTCTCCCATCTTTCTGGCCATGATATCCACACAATAGGATCATCACCATCACACCATCATAGGACGGGCTCAAACAGAAATGATAAACACAGACATGTATGTATGTAGAGGGTTTTTTTTTGTTTTTCCTTTTATAGTTACAGATTACAAATTTTCAGTTTTCAAGTTCATGTTTGCTGACAGATATTTAATAAAGATAAATTGCACCTTCATCACTAGTGGATTAGAGATACACAGATATAAAGTTCACAAGTTCAATTCAGTTTGGTTCAGGTAGATATTTAATGATGCAGAACATAGCAATCTGATTGCACAATTTGTTTATGACGCTTAATAATAATAAATAAGTGCTATAAAATATTTGCTGACGTGTTTGCATTAATTATCTGTGCCCATGCTTTTTTTTAAAATAAATAATGGCCCAAAAATGTTTTTGCTCGCGTGCTTTGCACACTCGCATTTTTTGGTGCCCTATTGTGCCCCTGTATAGCATTGGATCAGCTGACGGCCCTGGTGTAAATCCTATTTTAAGCACCACAAAGAGCTGAAACTTGATGTAAAAAAAGTTCAAAGCAGGGATTAAAGAGACATAGCCCTAAAAACTCCAGCAGCGAAGAGCGGAGCAAACAGGCAAGCCACCTTTTTAAAAATGAATCAATGTCCTTTCAAATGTCTTTAAGTAGTAAAAAAAAATCCTTCAACTTCATAATTTCACATTCCTGTATTTCTTTGTTTTATCTCATTAAATTTCAGAGGTTTGTAGTAAAAACATCATTAAATCATATAAATTGCAAGGAAACTTAACACCTGCAGGACACTTGATGGAAAATGCGACAGAGGGAATGCAAATTCATTAATCACAGCTTATCCTGCAATACTATGTGTAATAAAACATTTGGGTTAGCTTCTATAACCCAACATTAACCCCTGAGCTGTAACGCTGTGATATAACCAGGGTGTTCCGAACACAAACTTGCTGTCAAATACATCCGATTACCTAAAACAGACCCCATCAGCCACAGACTGCAGCTCCAACCTCACAGAAGGGCATCAATTCAGAGCTGGATTGAGGAACCTCCCCAGCTGCTCCCCCCCTTGGGGTTCAAAGAGAGTAGACTTCTGCTCCAGATGCAGCTGACTCAACCATAAAAGATCAACTAAGAACTGAGCAGCAGCGGTGGGCTGCTCCAAGTATGAATGTAAAGATTTTATGCGACAGAAATTGGGGAAATTTCACTTTTCCTTCATCTAAAGCTGCCTTTTGAAAAGCAAAACCCCATTTCACCCAGAATGTATTTTAAGATCAAACCACTGCAGCAGGGTCACATCAGCAACCTCTCTTTCCGTCCCACTGCACTCACCATCCTTGCGGTGGTAGGTGATCTCCACCTTTCGTTCCTCGGAGCCCAGAAGCGCCTGAGCCACCTGGGCCACCGCGTGCCGGCTGGTGAACTGGCCGTGCAGGAAGTCGCACGTGCACGGCTTCTGCATGACGTCCGGCCTGGAGAAGCCCGTCATCTCGCAGAAGCCGTCGTTGCAGTAGATGATCGCACAGTTCTGCACGCGGGCATTGGCTATGATGAATTTCTTATCTGGGAAATCATGGAGGAAGAGAAAGCATTAGATGTTCGCTGGGGATTGGAGTAATTTCCAACAGTAATTAACAGCAAATATGAAAATACAGCATGAGAAACATGTATAACGTCTTACTGTAAAAATAAAGGGAGATAAATATGGTTTATATAAGTGGGGAATGTTGGGCATTGGTAGTAAAAAAATAAGCATAATTTCAAAATTCCTTTTCTTTAAAAAGTGTGATAATGTAATTTTAAAAGAACATTGCAAGAGACTTATTACCATTACTAAAGTTCTCAGTATCCTTGTTCGCTTTATTCTACTTGGAAAAAATAAAAAGGAAAAAAATGCATTTGAGCAAAAAGACTAAAAAGCTGTCCAACAGCATTTATTGTCATTATTATTATCACAATCTCTGTAAATCAAACTGAATTTTTGTTTAATCTTTGCTTTTTGAGTAGATCTTTACTAAATATAAGTCGGTTTTCAATGATTATATTGTCCTGTGGTAAAGTAGAAAACAGTGTTTACAGCTATTTAATAGTCTACAATTTCTTTAAAGCTTCCTGTGACTAAATATCCTGCAAGAATTAATCCCAAAGATCACAACTGGAAAATCAAACATTTGCGCTCCTTCAGCTGGACCTTAATGGAACGCTGGGCTTTGGTCAGATACGACTAAAGGCCCATTCATACCTCACGTTTGGCCTGCACGTCCGTATTTCTGTCCGTACGTTCTATCCGTTGACTCCTTCATACCTCCGTCCGTTGAGGTGCGCAATAACCCGTATTTCCTCTAGGTGGCAGTGCTGTGCGCCAATGATTCGTCATTGATCAAAACATGGCGATGGTCCAAGACCTGATTCTGTTGCATTTGCTCCGTAAGCGAAAGAAAAGTAAAAAACGAGATCGACGGTGGAACGTGAGGCCATTGAATATCAGTCGCCCTTTTGATGGGGAATTTTGCCATTTGGGATTGCAATTTCTTTGTGATTTTGTTGACATTTTGTACTAAAAACTCAATAGCGCCCCCACCGTTTCCGGTAGTATTGCTCCGTATTGATCCGTTTCGTCCGTAAGCGTAAGCTCCCAATTTTCGTGTCAAAGTACGGACGAAATCGACGGTTAGAACGTATGAAACACTCCACACGTATCCGTATCCGTCTTTTACGTGAGGTATGAATGGGCCTTAATGCTGACACTGATACTAAACAAGATACTGCAGGCTAATGGAAGAAAAATCTAAGATTTTTCTAATCCCAAGCTAGTTCTGGGAGACCTTAAGGTGTTCCCAGGTATGGTACCTCTGCTTGGGCCTACTGTAGGTTCTTAAGACATAGATGGAAAACCTCCAGAGAGAGAAATCCACATCTGGATGACGGGGCACATGACTGTACATGTAAAGCAGAGTCCTGTAACCCTACATGGAAGCATTCTGGTAGTTTGTATTGAAAATTGTCTCTAATAAAGAATCAAAATCCCAGCAGACTCGATCATTTGCATCTTTATAATCACTACTGAGCAACAAAATAATCTTTTTGACCACAAAAAATCACACATTAGATGCCCTGCATGCAGATTTTAAGTATCGATTTGGGCCTTTGCAAAATAAGTTATTGCCACTTAAAGCTAGGCTATGTTTAAGGAGAACCTGTGATCATCACAGGACCAGATTAATTTAAGGAAAAAAATGTAAAATGAAAGGATTGTTTTTTCTCTGTACTGCACCTGCTGTATCTGGACACACATCTATGTAGTCCTAATTTTGGCAAAGGTGACAGAGGACTTTGTGTTCTTTTTACTCAGCTCCCATTGGTGCCATTTCTTTAGTCTTCTATTCCCGAATAATGAAAAATAATCTGCTTTTTTAATTGAGTCACCTGTGGGAATATTTACCAATATTCCATTATTTGAAGATAATAACTGAAACCATAGAAACAGCTTTGTAACCATTTCCAAATTCATAAATCACCTGAATGCAAGTTTGTTTTTCTCTTTTACAATCCGTTAGCCTACTTCATTCTGTCAGACAGGTTCAACTGAAGTAATTTCCTGGTTGTAACAGTTAAACCCATTTTATCACATTTGATTTCTGATTCAAGCTGGTTTCCTTTTAAATATAATTTATATTTTATAGTTAACTCTGTCATATATATACACATATAAAAATAAAACCAAATATTTAAGTGTTAAAAAAAGGGAGGAAAAAACAGAATATGGTGGGGATACTTTTGCATTAAGTTGTTTATAAAGTGTAGAGGCTGTTCAATTGGCAAAACTGGTTAATATAAAGCAGAGTTTTTCCACCCTGGTCCTAAAGGCCCACTGCTACTCATGTTAGATGTTTCCCAGCTCCAACACACCTGATTCTGATTGATTGATTGCAGTTCAGCAAAGCCTGATATTCTGCAATCAATTGATATCAGGTGTGTGAAAGACAGGAGGGCAGTGCGCCTTCAGAACCAGGGTTGAAAAAGAAAAAAAAAGAAGTTTTTTAAATAAATATATATATGATATAATTTAAGCTTTAATTTTTCCCCAATGTTTTCTTTGTAAGATAAATCTGCTACAGTAAAAGATGGATACAATATGTATTGCCTTGTATTGTGGATAAATATACAGAATATGAGGATAATTAATATAAATAATATCTGAGAGCTGTTTTCCTGTAAGGAACTGCTCTCACAGACACAAAAGGAAGCAGCGCAGTTCTCCACATTGGACAGGTACTCACTTTGTCCTTCGAATTTCCGAATAATCACTCCAAGAAATGTGTTCTGTGGCGCAACATGACCTCTCCGAACAGGCATGGTTTCCTTTCCCCCTCCCCCCCAAAAAAGAAGCCTTATTAAAGAAAAATAATAATAAAAAAATAAATCTTTGGCTGAGCGTAAAGCGCGTGCCTTTTAAGTTCGCGGGTGTAAACCGAAGCCAGGAGGGCTCCCCTGGTTTTCTTTGTCAGCACTCAGTCATCCTCATAAAGGGAAAAAAAAAATAAAAGAAAAGAAAAATATCCACCCGTGACCGAATCCCCCGTGTTTTACTTCAGCTCCCCCGCATAGCAGAGGCTCCTCTGCCTGCGCTCCTCTCCGAGATGAAGCCCGAAAGGAAGGAAGAGCCGGCGGCTCGCGGCGGAACCAACATCTCAACGCAGCTCCTTTGCCAGAGCTGGGAGCGTTAGTGGCGGCGCGTGAAGATGGTTGGTGCGCGTGGCGCTCGGAGGGTGCGGGAGGGGTGCTGCTGTCGTGATGGGAAGACTGATGCGCTCTTTGCCCAATGGCTTCACGCTGTCACTGGCAGCGAAAAAACAGAAGCTCTAGCGCTATGACTGAGGAGTTATTCCACATCTTTATTAAATAAAAAAGAAATAATGAGGGGTAGGCTACATGTTGATAGCCACAAGTTTTAATTAGCACAAAAACAACACATGAAAAACAGTCGAAGAGGGCGGGGACTGACGTCACGCAGGTGTGTGGCATTCATGATTGACGCTCCTGCGTGAGAAGGAAGAAAGAAACATGGCTACTGATTTAAGGCGCTGTCCATGGTGCTAGCTTTTTTCTTTTTTAAATCTCTTCTTATTAAACAAAAAACAAACATTACCTTCTTGGCTCAAGATCCTTTTTTTTATTTTTTTTTATCGGAGCCAAAAGAGGAAATATATAAATATATATATATATATATATATATATAGGCACCTTCAGTCGGGCAAAACAAATGTTTTAAAAATAGGAAAGAAAGCATTGCCACTTCTGGTAAAACTTCTATGTAGACACACGAAAGGTATATTTCACTTTCTTAAAGGAGAATTCCGGTTTTTAACACTTTTAGCCCATTTTCTGTAGTGTCCAGGATGAAATCGAATGATCGACACCAAAATTTTGACGATTGGTCCTGTCTCT